CGTAACACACAGAAGCAGATGAGAGCGCTGCAGAAGAAGCAGAGTCAGCTGGTTCAGGAGAAAGACAACCTGAGGAACGAACACAGTAAGGCCATCCTGGCCCGCAGCAAGCTGGAGAGCCTCTGCAGGGAGCTGCAGAGACACAACCGCACACTCAAGGTGCAATACAGTCCTCTTTGTGTTGTTTTTTAAAAATTAAATGTATAGACATTTATCTGCAAAGATTCATTACATGACACGTCCTGCAACTGGAACTTCTAAGAGTTCAGCCTCAATGCATCACTCCATTGCTTTGGGAGAACAGATGGCAAAATACCATATGTAACAACGTTTTATATCAAATTTCAAGTAACTGTCACAATGCTAATAATAATTGTGACGTATAAACAGCTCGCATGTTAAAGGCTGTCGGAGAGCACAGCATAAACATTCTTTGAGGAAACTCAAAGTACTGTCATCTATGCAGGAGGAAGGAATGCAGAGAACCCGGTTGGAGGAGGAGAAAAGGAAGGAGGTGACTTCTCATTTCCAGGTGACGCTGAACGACATCCAGGCTCAGATGGAGCAGCACAACGAGAGGAACGCCAGCCTCCGGCAGGAGAACACAGAGCTGGCTGAGAAACTCAAGAAGCTGTATGAACAGTACAAACTGCGGGAAGAAGTGAGTGAGCAATTTTTTCCACATCTGCTTGTTTGAAGTGCAGCATGTAAGTTTTAGATTTTTTTTTCAGACTGCCAGTTGAATATTTCAGAGCTCACAATCATGTCATATTACATTTTTACTGAATGTGTAGCGTGGATTCTTTTGTTCTGACTTTGTGAAACCTCGACCAGCACATAGACAAAGTGGTGAAACACAAAGACCTGCAACAACAGCTGGTGGATGCCAAGCTGCACCAGGCACAGGAGCTGCTGAAGGAGTCAGAGGAACGCCACGACAGAGAGAAAGATTTTGTAATTATCCATTTTACGCACATATATATACACAAAATACAACCACAAAGACTGGATTTGTCCTGTTGTTATACCCACATGTGACCATGTCTCTTGTGTGCTTCTCCCTCTCCAGCTGCTAAAAGAAGCAGTCGAGTCTCAAAGGATGTGTGAGCTGATGAAGCAGCAGGAGGTTCATCTCAAACAGCAGGTTTCCTACGAGTCTTTAATCTTCAGATTTATAGCTCAATGCAAGATTGACTTAATCGTGAAATATTTTTATCACTAAACCTGTGTTGTGTTGTTTTCCCAGCTGTCACTGTACACAGAGAAGTTTGAAGAGTTTCAGACCACTTTGTCCAAGAGCAATGAAGTCTTCACCACTTTCAAACAGGAGATGGAGAAGGTGAGGCGTTTCTGTTACACTGAGGGTGTAAGAGAGAGAAAAAGAAGAACTATGTGTACCCTTTGTTGGGTTTACCTGCTAACATGGCTGCCTTGTTTCTATCGTGCTTACAGATGACTAAAAAGATCAAAAAGCTGGAGAAGGAGACAGCCATGTATCGCTCCAGGTGGGAGAGCAGCAACAAGGCTCTTCTGGACATGGCTGAGGAGGTAAAACAAGCTTTTGGTGTTTATGCTTGTCATGACTCTGACTTTTTGTTGCTAAGATGCAATCCACAGTGAAAGTGGCTCTCTAAAGTTCTTAAATCTCTCACATAATCCTACTGTAACGATAAGAGACACAGTGTTGCTGTGCTTCCTTTTAATTGTGTTAAACTCATCGTTATATTAGAGTTAAGAAGTCGTCTAGTTCTATCTCTGATCCCTTGAATTACAATTTGCTGAAATGTTATAGAATTTTTGCCCACTGACCTAACCAGGCTTTAAAAGCAACAAATGTTCATCCATCTAAAACCAGAGATGTTGGCCCCAAACGTCTGTTTTTTGTTTTAGTTTTATTAAATGCACTAAACCTGAATCTGGCGACAGCGGCGAGGCTGCTCAAAGCTCCACTACTGATGGCAGAGAAGGCCGTCTTGGCTGAAACAGCAGCAGCGCTCCTGCTGAGAACGTTACAGCTGCAGCCGCTGACAAGCGAAGGAGGGACAGACCTTCATCCAGCTTTGCTATTGGAGTATTAGAGACTGTTATCTGGCTCTACAAGACTAATACTGATAAAGTTGGGCGCAAAAATAGACAAAATTTACTCTTGATTCCACTCAATACAGTCTTGTAGCTCTCTAACCGTGATCAAATTCAAGGAAACAGTTGCAGATAAATGATCAAACATAATACAAATAATATATGAGGACCAAAAAATGTTTATTGCTAACTGGGGAAACACTGAATTGTGACACACTTGTGATGTGGACAGAGACACGTTGTTTTTCAAAATTCTCCTGTTCATAGAGCCCAAGACTGTGCTGGCCTTAGAGTTAAGACAAAGTTGTACATTGTTGTGTTACATCTAATTGTACATTAGAATTGAAATAAAAAATAAATAAAAGCAACAATCGACCTACAAATGGTCGACACTTCTACACCACATGTCTACCTTAGCGGTGCTCAAAGTGCTTTACAATGTGTTTCTCATTCACACACCATGCAAGGTGCCGGCCTGCCATTGGGAGCAATTTCAGATTCAGTGTTACGTAGACTATGGAGGGGCGGGGGATCGAACCGTCAACCTTGTGATTAGAGGACAACCCGCTCCATCCGCCACAGCCGCCCATAAAAGGGGGACTGAAATGTGTTCAGAAATACATTCAGGTTGACTTTGTCTTTTAAAATTTGTGTAAACAGATACAACACAAAAGCATCAAGCAGAGTTGCACTCCTAATTTCATTGTGTATTTGTGGCGTACTATGACGATAAACATATTCTGATTGTGACAAAAGCGTCACAGCACAGTTGTCACGGTGTCCTGTGTGCATGTGTCTGCAGAAAGCTGTACGGGACCATGAGTTTGAGGCACTTCAGGGGAAAGTCCAGCGGCTTGAGAAGCTGCGGCGGGCGCTTAAAGTGGAACGGAACGAGCTGAACAAGAAGGTCCAGAACCTCAGCGGTCCACACAGCAGCACAGCAGGAGCCCCCACCTCTGACCCAGGGACTGACTCCCCATCGCCACCACCTACAGACTCTCTGCTGGAGCCCAGCAGCTGTTCTGTCCCAGACACCTCCTCCTGCTCCCACTCCTGCCACTGTGGCCCAGAACTGGAGACAGACACCCTACTAGAAGGGGCAAACGCTCAGGCTGTCCCCGCACAGGAATGAAGCAGCGCTGCTCACACTCTCCTCCTTCCCCCCTCCTGCGTCAAGCCACCAAAAGATAAGCCACCAGCTGCAAGCCACTGCTCCACGGCTGGAAGAAGCTGATGTTAAACACTGGTCTAGAAGGAGATCGGATAGTCACACCTTTGTGCATTTTAGGTAGAATATCTGATCGACGTTTAGTAGAAGGGTTCGCTTGTGTCCTCCCAGTATCCTCTGCAGGCTTTATAAAGGTGAGAATAAAATTCACCTGTCAGTATATTTACATGCACACTGTAGCTCAATTACTGAGACTAACCTGATTAATGTAATCGCATTTACATGGTTTGCAAATAACCCAGTTTCCTGAAATAATTAGATTGTCATGACTCATTTAATAGCTGGTTTAGCATCTGCTTGCAAGCCCTCCAGGCAGCATCTTATTATCCACACAAATTAGAAGAGAAGAAGAAAACCAAGGGCTTTTTTTTTTTTACACTCAATATGCCACAACCCCAAAAGGTGTTTTTTTTTTCTAATATATGCACAGGACTCATGGAGTATAAATATAATATAAATTTTAACAAGTTATTTGGCTCTGATGTTCTTGTTCCAGCTTAAATCGTACCTTCACTAAATGACACTGTTTGCATAAAGGTTGCCTCATCAGTAGTGTGCATGTATTTGCACTGACTGCCTTTTGTGTTGTGCGGTTTTGCTGCACACCTCTTTCTTTTGACTTGCTATGAACACAAATCAGCCTGGAAGCGATCAAAAAGTTCTGACACTGCGTCTAGAAGAATGGAAAAACTTAATTTATATTTGACTGCCATCTCCAGCGAAGCAGTCGGCTCGTGCAGCGAATGCACTGCTCCCAGCACTCCTGCAACACATCTGTAACGCTCCCTGAAAGTCAAGTATTTCTGCAGTGAGGCTGAATTTCTGTGTTTCCAGTCAAACGAGCTCCATGCCATCCCACCACAGCTCAGGCTGTTTGCGCTGAATGTTCTCAGACGCCTCAGATTGTCGGTCACATGCAGAATGTTTCATGCTGGGGGAAACACAACTACATGAATGTTAAAGAAAACCAACAGTATGCCCCCGCTGCGCTCCTGACCTAACCTTTTCTGGTTTGCAAACAGCAGGTTCTTCTTCTGTCAGAACTGCCGTTTCTTCTCTTGGTGGTAGCTGCCGACCCGCCTCTCCCCACCGTCGTGATCCTTCACGTTAATGTTGGATCATCCAGCTGCTGATTGACAGAGAATGTGATGTTTTTCCTCTCTCTGCCCCAGTTTGAAATCACAACCATGGGTCACAAAAATGTGTATAAAACAGGTCCAGTTGTGACAGTTTGGTGTCCCGCCGTCTCTTCGTGTTGCACGAGCGCGACCTGATTCAGTTCCAGAACGTTTTGATCGCACCACCTTTAAATGTCAGTGCTGCTTGGGATGACACAAGCCAAACCAGTTTGTTCTGAGAGGAGTTATCAGAGGTTGAATGACGTGTGTGTGTGTGTGTGTGTGTGTGTGTTCCAGCAGTTTGTCTCTTTTGCACATTGAGTCTCGGTGTATTGGAAGGGGTTTCACTCACAGTCGTATTCTTAAAGCCACTTTTAGCACCTTCATGTTTTTTCTTTCACATGAAGTCTTAACAGAGATGTCTCTAGTCAGTCCCATTCTTAACATGAAAAAAAAAAAATCTAGATTTCTACATATTTTTTTGAAGGAGATTTTTCAGTCTGACTTTTGTTTTCGTAGAGATTAAATGTTCAGAACTATTTCCAATATTTTTCTGGGATGTTTGCCGAAATGTATTGTTTTTTTTCTCCTCGTTGGCATCACACTACTTCACTTGTGCGGCATTTTTTTTTTTTGTTTGGAGTCTGTATTTATTGTTTTGCATAATCTCTGATGTTTGAAATTTATGTAGCTTACAGAACATGCTGTAAAAATATATATATATGCTTATTTTGTAATAATTTAGACCATTTGTGAAGGTTTTACTTTTAGGACCAACTCCTTATTCTTCGTATGGCTAATTTTCACTGTTGTTATTCAGTCTGCCGATAACGTTGTAACACTGACCACTTTCATCTAACTCCATCTTTGTGCATTGGTGTGTGTGTGTGAGTGTGTGTGTGTGTGATGCGTCTACGATTGTCTCCTCCAAGTCCTGGTAATTGCAGTAGCTTGTAATCAGGTTTTAACAAGAATGTTCAAGGACCTCTATGCAACGCTTGTGTCTTGGTTTTATTCTGTGGCAGTCTGAACTGACAAGCACTTAGCTGAGAATGTATATTCATTTTTTTTTTTTTTTCCCACTGTCCTGCATGGATGTACTGTAAAAACAAACATATCTCACAGCAGAACTCTATTTCATTTTTGTCTTTCTTTTTTTGTTTAGACCATGTTTGTTGGGCTGCTTTGACATTGAACGTAGTATTCTCTCTGATGCTTTTGAAAAAGGTGCGACGACTGAGCCGAGAGGGAATAACGAGGGGAACAAGTAGAGCTTCTGAATTGTAGTTTCACTCCCAAACATGTTTTAATCCACACGTTATTTTGTACTACTCAAAATGTAGCATCGGTAACACAGCGTCCATTCATAGAATCGGTCATCTTAAAAAAAAAAACGGCAAACCTAATTTCCTCCATCGTCCCGTAGGACAGATTCATTGTAACCCCGAGTCCTGCAGCGGACGGGGAGCTTCATCGACCACGAGAAGGAACCAAAGATGCTTCCTTTTTTTGTCTTTTGCAGTACTTTTATCTGACCCTGTATATTTTGTTTCTTGTTAAATAAAAGATGTAACAGTGTGTAATGTAGCTGTTGGCTTTATTTATTTAACAGTGAGTATGAGAAAAGATCCCTGCAGCAAATGATCTCTGTCATGTACATTAAAACCTCATTTTGACTGTCTTAAGGAGTGCAGCCAGATTTAAATTTTTCTTTTTTATAAGACCAACCATGAATGTCATTTCTTGGCAACTCTGTGTACAGCAGAGTAATAGGATGCATGCTTTTAATTATGCTCCTTTTACAGTTAAACTATTCAAAGACGGAGCTTATTTAAGTAAAATCTTAAAATCAATTCTAAAAACCAACAGTGAGAAAATGTGTGTGATGTGATATCATCTGTTAAAACCGGCGAGAAGCAGAGAAAGTCAGAAAGGTCCCAACCTGAGCCTCTTTGTAGTCCATAGAATCCTGTAGTGATGATTTTAATTAAGACAGCTCCATGTCAACAATAAATCCACCTTCCAGTTTGGGTTTAAAGGGTTAGCCAGGCTAATTAAAACTGCTGCATATTGTAAACTGTACAATAATAATCCATCCATCCATCGTCTATACACCGCTTAATCCTTATTAGGGTCTCATCTTATTACAACGTGGTAGTTCATAGTCCTGCCGTTAGGGGGCGCGCTGACGCCATGTCGCTCTTTGACACAGGAAGTGTTCCTCCGTCCTTTTCCTCAGCGGCTCCGGCGCCTGAAACACGAGTGCTCACTTTTTTCGCTCTTTAAGGGAGGCGCAGTAAATTATACTGGACCGACTGGCGACACTTAGCTGACAAAATGGTTAGTATAATGTTTGGTAAAACGTTTCCTACGAGTCATGTTCTGCTCTGAATTATGCCAATTTTGTTGCTGCGACAGTTAGCTCCGGCTTAGCTAGCCGCGGCTAACGCTAGCTGTTAGCAAGCCATGCTAGCTAGTGGTTAGCTGCGTGACCAAAGATGTTTCACCGGTCCCTTGTAGAACTGAACTGGGTGTTTGTTTGTAAAGATAAGTAAGCAAACACAACGTTGTGTGTCACCACAGACTGCAGCCCAAATCTGTTTCCCCGTTAAGAAGCTCTTCGTTGAGTGACCTGCAGTAATTACATACAGATAACTGTTGTTCTTCACAGAAACCCATCCTACTGCAGGGCCACGAGAGGTCCATCACTCAAATCAAGTACAACAGGGAAGGAGACCTGCTCTTCTCTGTAGCTAAAGACACGGTGAGTCCACAGTAATCAAGTTCATTCATTCAGCAATACATACATTTAGCACATGGGGAGTTATTTAATATATCGCTTGTTATTGTCCCATTTTAGGTAGCCAACGTTTGGTACTCAGTGAACGGCGAGAGGCTTGGTACCTACAATGGACACACGGGAGCTGTGTGGTGTGTTGACTGTGACTGTATCCTCCTCCAGAAAATATGCTTGCATATGACATTTTATCTCGAAGAAGTCCAGGATGTTGTATGTACACACAACAATAGGTATGATCAGTCTGCATATCATAAAGGAAAATTAGCTTGTTGCCTTATTTGACAGAAATGTGTGCCTCTTCCTGTTATTTTGACCATTTGATAAAAACAAACACATCTGTTATTGTTGATTAAACCACAGGTAACACAACTGGTTTAAAAAGATGTTATTGTTCTTTTTTTTTTTAAATGCCAAAACTTTAATTCTTTCACTAATCTGTTTTGGGTGCAAATAAAACCTCATTGGGGCATCTCACTGATGATGTACATGTTTAGTTCCTTAACCTGTCATCTCTCAGGGGACACTAAAAACGTATTAACAGGATCTGCAGATAACAGCTGTCGACTATGGGACTGTGAGACCGGTGAGTAAAAACAAGTTGTAGAAAATGGGTGGCACAGTTTTCCTTATGCCAAATGCTAATTATTATCCTTGTGTACATTTTGTTACCTGCCGGTAACCATCCCATAGTCTCGTTAAGCCGACAGTGTGTCTGCTGTTCACAGGTAAACAGCTGGCCCTACTCAACACCAACTCTGCTGTCAGAACGTGCGGCTTCGACTTCAGCGGCAACATCATCATGTTCTCCACAGACAAGCAGATGGGTTACCAGTGCTACCTGAACTTCTTTGACCTGAGGGATCCACAGCAGATAGGTACATAACACACACACTTGTTTTACTCAGCAGTCACGCTGACCTTTAAAAATGGCCACCAAAATAAAGAAACAGTCAAGTTTGAACATGATCTCCTTTTTTTAGTATTGGTTGCTTTTAAGTTAAAAATCATGTGCCTCAGTTTTAATTTGTTGAGATGTAGTTGAATATTAATACAAGTTTTTTTTAACAAGCAAAATGTTGCTCTTCATCCATATATAACCAAGTGATGAAGTCACACATTACTGTAGTTATTTACAGTTCATACATAGTATTTACACAGCAGCAATGTCAGCAGTATGAAGAGGAAGTCTCTCTTTCTGTCTGTGCAGATGACAACCAGCCGTACCTGTCGGTGCCTTGCAGTGACCACAAGATCACCAGTGCTGTGTGGGGACCTCTGGGAGAGTTTGTCATTGCTGGCCATGAGAATGGCGAGATCAACCAATTCAGTGCCAAGGTTTGACACGTGGGAACATGTGGGAATGTAGTAAACTGGTGCACTGGTTTCACAGCCCAGTTAAGACATTTTATGCTGTTTAGTAAATAGACTAGAATGAGAACTACCTCCTTGCCAGCAAATGTGTGTAAAATATTACTGTGACTGTTTTGCTTGTAACCTCTAAAAACTGCATGTTGTAACTGTGATATTTGTGGACAGTCTGGAGAGGTCCTGAAGAAGATCAAGGAACACACCAAGCAGATCAATGACATCCAGCCATCAGTGGATCTCACTATATTCATCACTGCTTCCAAGGATAACTCTGCAAAGGTAAGACCCTTAAACACTCACTTTGTTAATGTGTGGGGTCACTAAACTTCTGCTCCATTGAACTGCCTTATCATTTTCAGTTTTTTGGGTTCATTACAAGTCCTCAGTTCAATCAGATTCTAAATCTAACTTTCATTTAGACTTCACCACTGAGCGTCTTTGTTTTTCTTTTTTTGTAGTTGTTTGACTCCACTTCTCTGGATCACATCAAGACATTCAAGACAGAGAGACCCGTCAACTCTGCTGCCATCTCCCCCATTATGGATCATGTAAGAAATGGCTCGCTGTGCTGCGTGTCCTGTTAGAACATGAACTTTGATTTGGCACTTTGCCACAAACAAATCTCTTTTAACCACTTGTATATGGGTTGTGATTCAGGTGGTGATGGGAGGTGGACAGGAAGCCATGGAGGTCACCACTACCTCCACCAGGATTGGCAAGTTTGAGGCCAGGTGAGCTAAAATGTGTCAGTTTGGTTAGAAGGTCCTCATAGTAAGTTAAACCAAATGCTTAAAACCATAGACTGTATAAAAGATGGACGTAGCTACCGTGACGTCACCCGTTGGTTTCTGCACTGAGAAAATGAAGCCAGGGTTTTGCTACTTCCTGGTTGACATCTTGGATTTTTGGAACCAGTGATGCAAAAATCGTCGGAGGGGGGCGGAGCCATAGGAGGAGCGATTGGTCAGACGGATTGAGAGGCGGGCCCTCTCTGCCCGCCCACATTTACCGCCTTCTGCTCGCTTCGTCTGTATGGTCGCTGCCGACTGTCAATCAAGCCAGCCACGCCCCTTGCCCCGCAAAATGTTGACAATTTTTTAAAAATTCAGTATTGATTTATTTTCAGATTGGCCACCTGATCTCTGGATTTGACCATGAAAACTAATAAGAAAAATCCTGAGCTGGAGGAATGCAGTATTTCATGATCTGTGATCACTTCTTTTCCAATTCAAGTCTATGGGAGCCAGGGCTTTTTGGAGCCAGGACTAGCGGACGTAGTGATATTGCAGGTTTTTGACACTTCCGGGTTGGCTTCATTTTTCAGGGCCGGTTGCTACGTCCATCTTTTATACAGTGTATGCTTAAAACCGATTATTTTGGGTTTCTACTCTCCAGGAACCAAATTATGCTCACTTATGTGATATCAAGCCAAATGGCAAAAACATTAGATAACAAGATTTTAATTTTTTTTATTGATAACCTGTCTTCTTTGCTATACCCAGGTTCTTCCATGCTGCCTATGAAGAGGAGTTTGGTAGAGTCAAAGGTCATTTCGGCCCAATCAACTGTGTGGCATTCCACCCTGATGGCAAGAGGTACAGGATAGCCATACTTTTGATACACTGCCCTAAAATGTAGTCTGGTTAACACTGTTGAGTTGTCTCACCACTGACATTATTCTCCTGCTGTGTTGTTGTCGTCTACAGTTACAGCAGCGGAGGAGAAGACGGATACACAAGGATTCACTACTTTGACCCACAGTACTTTGATTTTGAGCTGGAGGCATAAACAGCCAGCCTCCTCGACCCTCACAGCTTCAGCTAACATCAGACTCAGTCCAGTCTGGAAGAAGGAATAACGGACAGAGTGCATTTACGCCTCCCCTCTCCTCCCGACCTTGCAAGTTAATGTGATTGAATTAAGCCTGTATACGTCTCACAGACTGCTTCAAAATAAAGGAAGTGAGGTCAGGAGAGGTTTGTGACTGCATCTTCATGACAAGTTTGGTGTTTTTGTTTTTTTTCAACAATTTTTCCATCATCACTCGGAAACTCTTTGGTAGCATAAGGAACAGCTGGATTTGAATTTTTGTACTCTGGATATGCAAAGATTCACAACTGGACTTTAAACCCCATACTCCTGAATCCTAAAGTGTATTTAATTTGATGAGCAAGAATTTGAGTTATTGATGCATTTCTGTTGTTTCACCATTCCACCATTAAACAGCTTCATGAAGTTGTCTGTGTGATTCATCATTCAGTTATGAACATGAACACACTCATCACACACTTTTTAGGGTCCGAGCACCAAAGGGTG